CCATTAGGTCTTTTCCAGGAACAATTTCTGTTTTTGGGTTTTTTCCCCCTCTGAATGGGATGCTTTTGTTCATATGCCTTGAAATTTTTCATTGAACACTGGACATTTGAATCTGATAATGTGGTAGCTCTGGAAATCATATTCTCCCCCTATCACAGGGTTTGCTGTTTTGTGTGAGTTGTTTTGTTTTGCTTTTTGGTTGCTATAGGCTATCTGCTATGTGGTACCAAAGATTAGCCTGAGGGGTAAGCTTCAGATCTTCTCATGTTTTTTTCCAAGATTTTTCTTGGACATACACAGTCTGTTTCTAATATTTCCTATATAAGCAATAGTTGTCTAACAAACTTGTCTTTAATTTCTGGCTCCCCAAAAGAGGAAAAGTGAAAAATGAAGGGGGATGTAAAAGGGTGCTGGCCCTTTAAATCCCTAGAAGTTGTTCAGCTGGCAGGAGAGGGTCTTACAACAATGTGGGGAGGGGCGACAACAATGGCTGCCTGCCTATTTGTCTGCACCTGTGTTATTAGAATCAATAATCAGAGCCCAGATCCCTCCTATTTGGAGGACAGAGTCTTTTTGCCCACCCTGGCTCCTGCATACTATTCCAGAAACAAGTGGATGATTGCCTGCCATGTGGCTGGGAGTGGAAGATGGGGATGGGTGGCTGCTATTGTGCTAAGAGCTGAAATTGTTCAAAAATAGTTTGCAATTTACCTTCTAAGCCTGAAAGGCCCAAACCTTCAATAGACTCCTAAGTCCAAAATTATTGTTGCATCAGTGTCTGCCCCTGCAAATCAGTGTCTGCCCCTGCAACTGTCATCCAGGTCAAGAGGCAGTTTCTCATTTACAGGTGCTTCCTACTCTGCATCTTCCCAGAATCTTCTTGGTGTAAATTGCAAGCGTACAGCTTGATATATTTTTACATATGTACACAAACACATGACTCCACCCAGAACAGATCTAGATATTTCCAGAACCCAGAAGGCTCCTCCTTCCTGCCTCTCCTAGTCTATTACCCCCAGGGAGAGCCATTAATCTGACTCTGTTCAGTGATTTTGAACTTCATGTAATGGAACCATGCAGTGTGGGCTCTTTGGTTCTGGCTTTTTTTTTTTTTTTGCTATGGGATTCACTTTTTTGTTAATTTAGCAGATGTGGGTTCCAATACATCTTGTAGTATCACACCCATTTAAGAACATGTCTTAGCTTTTTTATATCCTTTCCCATTGGTAGGCACTATGATCACAGTGGCTGTGAATATTCATATGCATTAACTGTGCTCCTGTCTCTTGGTTTTACATCTAGAAGTGGAATTGCTGGATAACCGGGTATGTGTAGGTGGTAGAAGGTACTTCCAAAGACCTCTTGAAATTGTTCGTGACCTTTGCTACATCCTCACCAGCACATACTGCCTGGCAGTATTTCTCACTTTAGCTATTCTCCTGGGTCTGTCATTGTATATCTTTGTGGATTTAGTTTGCATTTCCCTGAGGATTAGTCATATTAAGGACCTTTCCATATGCTTGATGGTATTTTGGATGTACTCTTTTGTGATCCAATTTTGCAAAGACTTCACCCATTTTAAAATTTATGTTAACTGAATTTTTCATATTGATTTGTAGGAGTTCTTTATGTATTCTGTATGTGAGTCCTTTGTAATAAATTCCTTATCTGAATCTTTTGTAATATATTGAAAATTCTTTCTCCCAGTCCATAGTTTGGCAAATAATATAGTCTATGGGCCAAATCCATCCTATGGCCTATTTTATAAGTCCTACAAGTTAAGAGCAGTTGTTGTAATTTCCAAAAGACAAACACATAAACCAAGATAAAGAAGAATATGTGACAGAGGCCATATGTGGCTCATAGAACCTAAAATACTTTCTAGCCCAGTCTGTGTCTACGGCTTGTCTTTACAATATCTTAATAGTGATATTTTGGGTAACAGAATTTCTTTATTTTAATGAAGTCCAGTGAACCATTTTTTTAAATGTTTAAGGATTTTTATGTGCTAATATCTTTTGTCTGCCTTCTGGTCAAGATATTCTTCTATGTTTTCTTCTATAAACTGTATTATTTTAAGTCTACCTTCCATTTCATGTTAATTTTTCCATATGGTATTAGGTATGGTTAAGATTTTTTCCCAGGTTGATTGCTATTTATTTCAGTATCATTTATTAAAAGTACCATCGTTTCCCTGCTGAATTACAGTAACATATGCGTAGCAAGTCAGACTGCTGCTGTCAGAAGTTCAGAGAAAAACAAGTAAAACCAGTGGAGCACTGAAGTAGTAATTAGCAAAAGTTTATTGTGCACACACCAAAATGACAGTTTACAAACCAGGATACTCAAATCAAGACATGGAACAAGGCTCGAAGGTATATTGTCATAAAGCAGCTTGTGTGGTGTGGAGGCAGGATCTGGTTATTCTTCACAGCAATGGACTACAACATTAGAATTGGGGGGGGCACAATTTGAGATTCACTTATGATTTTCAGAGGTACAAGCAAGAAGTGACCCAGGTCAAGTTAGCCTTGCTTATCTTGCCAAATAGACTAGATGAAGCTTTGCTTGTAGGACTACATTGGTTTCATCTGCTCTGGGAATTTTCAAGGCTGGTCTCCATGTGTGTTTGATTGTAACACCATGCAATGTGGATCTTTTTCTGAACTCTGTTCTGTTTCATGTTTTGTTTTGTTTTTTTGTCTATCCTGTGCTTATCCCCTGCCTTAGTTATGATAGCTTTGTAATACGTCTTGATGCCCTGTGGTATGTCTTCCATCTTTGTGTTTCTTCTATATGGTATTGTCTGTTCTTAGGCTCTTTGCACTGCCATAAAAATTCTTTGATCTACTTTTTTTAAAACCCTGCTGGTATTTTGATTGTATTTTTATGTATATGACAAAGGACTCATATGCAGACTATAACAGAGAAATCCTATCAATGAGAAAACACCAGTTAACATATTTTTTTAAAGATTTTATTTATTTATTCATGAGAATACACAGAGAGGAGAGAGAGAGAGAGGCAGAGGGAGAAGCAGATTCCATGCAGGGAGCCTGACACAGGACTCGATCCCAGGTCTCCAGGATCACGCCCTGGGCTGTAGACGGCGCTAAACCGCTGAGCCACCGAGGCTGCTCTGGTTAACATAATTTTTAAATGGGCTACAATTTGAAATGAATCTAATGAAAGATGTACACACCCCTACTCATGGGGCCACACCCCTAGCACCAGCACCTAGCTGAGTCCTACCCAAGTTGCTGATCCACAGAAGTGGGGACAAAACAGCGTTTGCTTTGGACTGGTTTATTGCATGACAGCAGGTAACTGATATACACTGGCCCAGCTTCCTCTCAGTCCCTGCTTTGTAGCATGATGTCGTGGTATGATGCGGCATCCAGCCTGGCTGCAGGGCCCAGAGCCCAGCTGGGCTTAGGCCTCAGTTCTGCCTGCTGCTTTGTAGTTTGTATCTTTTCCTCCTCTGAAGAGCTGTTTCTGTCTTATTGTGTTTCTTTTAAGAAATTGTTTTTTTTTGGGGGGGGACGCCTGGGTGGCTCAGTGGTTCAGCATCTGCCTTTGGCTCAGGGCGTGATCCTGGAGTCCCAGGATTGAGTCCTACATTAGGCTCCCTGCATGGAACCTGCCTCTCCCTCTGCCTGTGTCTCTGCTTCTCTCTCTGTGTCTCTCATGAATAAATAAAATCTTTAGAAAAAAAGAAATTGTCTTTTTGCTTTGCTCTTTTTGTATTTATCCATTTCTTCTTTTTTTAATTTTTATTTATTTATGATAGTCACAGAGAGAGAGAGAGAGAGAGGCAGAGACACAGGCAGAGGGAGAAGGAGGCTCCATGTACCGGGAGCCTGACGTGGGATTCGATCCTGGGTCTCCAGGATCGCGCCCTGGGCCAAAGGCAGGCGCCAAACCGCTGCGCCACCCAGGGATCCCTTATCCATTTCTTCTTATGCCTAAACACAGGGAGTACATTAATGTGCAAGTTTACTGTACCGTTTCAACTGGAAGCTCCAAAAGTTTGTCACCAGAGTTTCTGTTCCTGAGGTATGGCTTACGCCTGAAGGGGTCCATTGTCTGTCCTTTGATGCTCTGTTCCTTGGCTTTCTTTTTCTCATTTATTTCTTTGACTGTGGAGTTTGGGCATACTTTAACTGATACTTTGCCTAGATACTCTTTACTTGTATCATACTTGTCCTGCTCCTAACTTCTCTGGACCCTCTTTATTACGTCTTTCAGAATTTCAGCCTCAAGGCCATTCTTGTCTGATGAAGAATAGAATGCAGGTGATTTTTCAGCAGGGTTGCTTGGTTTGTCTCTGCTGTTTTCTTTTATAATTACTTTTTAAAAGTCCTGGCTGCCTTCTCCTTTTCTTCTGATGGAAGTGGCAAAGGGGTGAGGGATTGGTAAATTCGGCATGCTCTTCTCCTCTTTTCTGCTCCATTCTGTGTCAGACATTTCATGGGACATGGTTAGATTCTTTTTACTTGGACCACCCAGACCTTCCACCCTTGAAGCCAGGCTGTATCCCATGAGGTTCGGTGTGGTTGTTCAGAGCATTGTCCCTGGTGTCCCCTGTGGCTGCTCTCTCTGCTCAGTGGGAGGGAACTATGGGGTCGTCACTATGGTTACCATGAAGTTTGGTCCTACCTGTTTTACCTTGGGATACTTTGGATGTTTTGAAGTTTATGATATGATTCTAGGTCCCTTTTCTAGTAGTAATATTCCTGGAGAATTCATTCTTTCCTTTATTTCGGTGTGTTATTTCCTATTTTGCTTCTTTCACTTTGCTTCCTGAGGTTTGGGAGAGAATGATTCTATGAGCCTGAGTTTTCCATTGAGTCAAAATATGTACTTTTAATTTCCATTTTGATAAATTGTAGGCTGTTTTTTAATCCTTATAAGAGCTTTTGTTGGGAATTGTTTGATGAGCAAATTAAATAATCTTACATTGTGAAATCCTTTAGTGAGATTTCGTGTCACACTCACAGTCTCGTCTCAAGGAATTGGAGCAAGAAGCTCATTTTGTTGCAGGAGAGCAGTTTCTTATAACAAGTAATAATCAGCTTCAAGAGGTAAGGCTAAATTTTGTTTTGTTTTGTTTTATAAAATATACTTCTTAGGAATTAAAGAGAGATCTATTCTGAATTTATAAATAGTATTTTATGTTGATTTTCTGGAAAGTATGTAAGTTGTCTGTTTTCTCACAATGAGATCTATCTCTTCAAAGCCTGAACACTGGGTGTTATTCTGTATGTTGGTAAATTGAACACCAATAAAAAATAAATTTATTATAAAAAAAGAATAATCCAAGAAAAGTATGAGATCAGAATCTGAGTGCTTGTAGCACCTAATTGGGTGGGCTGCTATGGCTGGGTAGTGGTGTTCAAGGTTTCTCTCAAATCTGAGATCCGCTCAAGTGACACTGCTTTTGTTGAAGATCCTCTTCGGCAAGCTAAAGCTGCACCTGATGAGTCCCATGGAGACTCTTCCCAGAACAGGGCTGCAGAGACTCCCGTCCACATCAGAAGCTGTGGTAAGTTCAAAAATTGTCCCTTTCTTTTTGAGACAGTAGCATGTCTACACCACATGTGAGTCACCTGCAGACCTGCCTGTGCCCCCTGCAGTGGGCTGTGTGGCAGTGACTCCTACAAGGTGCTCCTGGCAAGGCTACCCTCCTGGTATGAACCACAGAGAAAGATGCAGGCAGTAGTTTTCCAGAAGCAATCCATTGACTTCATTTTCTGCCAAGGACAATGAGGTAGAATTTTGTTCTGAAAACAAATTGTTGACAATCCAGTCACAGCCTCTTTATTTCACGACTCTGTTAGAAACTAGAAATGGGGAAGGTCATCAGTCTTCTCCCTTCCTAGATTTATTTTAGAAAGTTTAAGCTACCTTTCCCCTAAGAGGAGCTTGTGTTTTAAAGGACAGGGAGGAGTGAGAGTCTGCTCTATCAGAATGGCAGAGTATAGGGATGCCTGGGTGGTTCAGTGGGTTGAATGTCTGCCTCTTGATTTTGGCCCTGGGGTTGTAGCCTCAGGGTCATGGGATTGAGTTCCGAGTCACACTCTGTGCTCGAGGCAGGGGAAGTCTACTTGGGATTCTTTGCCTCTCCCTCTTCTGTTTGCTGTCTAAAATAAATGAATAAATCTTTAAAACATATATTTAAAAACAGAATGACAGAGTATAAATAGATGTTCAGAATCCATAAGATTCATGAAAGCATGCAGAGTGGGGATCAGTAAGTAAGTGGACTTGGGGGCCCCAGCATGGGTTCTCGGGGTTGTGTCCAGCACTGGACTTAGCAGCAGCTTCCCTCCCTCCCTGCACACATGGCCAACAGCACCACATGCTCTGCTCATCTTGGCCTTGCCAGAGTCCCCTGCCTTCTGACTACCCTCATGTGCAGCCCTCAGTGGGCTCAGGTGGTAGTTCTTGAGTGAATCAGGGACACATATAGAGTGATGTGTCAGGAAGCGGGTTTGAATCCGCCCCTTCCCCACCTCAGTGGACGTCCGTCATCCTCCTGAGTCCTTGGGAACCCACAGTGAGTGGAGTTAGGGCAGTGGAGTCAGCTAGCACAACTACCTGCACAGCTTGAGGGTGTACTTGACTATTCTGTGTCTGAGTTTCCTGATCTATAAAAGAAGGATAATAACAGTCCTTTCCCTATAGCAATCTTGTGAGTATTTAACAAGTGTATATGTGTGCCTGTGTGTAAAACAGTTTTTGGGACCATGCCTGACATATGAGCTCTCAAAAACCAACAAGTACTTGCTGTGATTATTAGCTAGCTACTTCCTCCAGAAACCTACAAGTTGTGTTGGATTTTCTTCCAGCCTTACCCTGCAGTCAGCCTTACAGTCTCTACCTGCAAATATAGGTCTTGAGTGTGCCTGTTCCCTCCCTTCTCACTGTCACCAGCTCAGTCACCTCCCACTCACAATCCTGCAAAGCCCCCTAAGCAGTGTCCCAGCTGCTCTTACCTTGCTGGTTATGCATCACATCCAGGCAGAGTGATCTTTTACACCATTAGAAACATCATGTCATTCACCTGACATACATTCCAGGGGCTTCCTGTGACACTTAGATTAGTGTGTCCCCAGGTCCCAGGTCTGGCCCTGTCCCTTCTCCAGCTCCCTTCACACCCAGTGTCCCGTGAGCACACTTGCTCTTCACAGGTTCTGCACGAGCTCTTTCCTGGTCTGTACACTCTTCTGGAGTTTGCGCAGTGGCTTCTGATTGTTGGCTTAAGTATTGCTTTCAGACAGACCTCCCCTGGCCACAGAGACAACAGTAATGCCTCCAGGCATTTGTTTCCTGCACCTAAAGTTACCTTAGTTACTGGCTTGCTTATTGCTCTAGGATGTAAACTGTGCAGATCAAAGCTTTCGTTTGACTTGTTCAGTACAACTTCAGAGCCAAACAGCCAGAACTAGCACCTGGTGGGGCTGAGCCAAATGTCTCTCTGTTCACTGAGATCTGGGGCAGCAGGGAGCAGGACCCATCCTCCCAAGAGAAACCAGCATGGATTTGACACCTGCATGGAAGAGAGGGCCACCATGCCTGATAGCCGGAGCAGCAGCGGAACCTGGCAAAGCCACATACTCCCCTCAGGTGGCCCTTAGCAGAGAGGGTCTCTGGCCAACTTATTCTCTGTCCCGGCACCAGCTGGCAGTGTTGCCCTTCCCTCTGCTGCTCCTTCGCTCTTCCAGACAACCAGCAACTACAAAAGGAAACCTAACTCTTTTGGTGTCAATGTGCTTTCTTATAGACAGAATTATCACAATGGCCTTCATTATTTTTCACAGAGATATGATTGATGTAAATCATATTAACCTCTCCTTTTAACTGATCAAATTATACTATTTTGTGCATTTAAAAAAGATGAACTTTTACTAGGGAACACATGTACATGGATCTAAATTGAAAATTAAGACTGCTGTCTTTCCTTAACCTTCCTGTTCCATGGGGGAGGGATGTGGACTTCAGTAAAATGGGAAGCCAGGGACAGTTCAAGTGAGGGTGCAACTATGATCTTAGATATGGTTTTATCAGGCTTTTATTTTGATTAGATTTTATATTTTATTTCACAGCAATATTGAGTGGAAAGTACAAAGAAGTATCATATCCTGCCTTCCTCCCACCTACGACACCCTCTCTCACTCTGTCTCCCTTACTATCAGGATCCCCACCAGTGGGACCAGTGGGACCATTGGTTACACTTGATGAACCTCCACTGACATGTCATCATCACCCAAAGTCCATAGTTCACCTCAGGAGTCAATGCTTCTATTGCATTCTCTAGGTTTAGATAAATATGTAAGGACAGGTGCCCACCCTTATGGTATCACACAGAGTAGTTCACAGCCATAAACACTCTCATGCTCCACCCACACCCCCTCTCCACCCTCCCCTGCCCCGATATTTTCACTGTCCCCATAGCTTCACCTTTTCCAGAATGTCCTGTAGGTGGAATCCTACAGCATGCAGCATTTTCAGATTGGTTTCTTTCCCCTTCGTAACGTGCATTTAAATTTCCTCCATGTCTTTTCCTGACTTGATAGCTTGTTTCTTTTTTTTTTTTAAGATTTTATTTATTTGGGATCCCTGGGTGGCGCAGCGGTTTAGCGCCTGGCTTTGGCCCAGGGCACGATCCTGGGGACCCGGGATCGAGTCCCACGTCGGGCTCCCGGTGCATGGAGCCTGCTTCTCCCTCTGCCTGTGTCTCTGCCTCTCTCTCTCTGTGTGTGACTATCATAAATAAATAAAAATAAAAAAAATTAAAAAAAAGATTTTATTTATTTATTGATGAGAGACATAGAGAGAGGCAGAGACATAGGCAGAGGGAAAAGCATGCTCCCTGTGGGCAGCCCAATGCGAGACTCGATCCCAAGACCCCAGGATCACGACCTGAGCCAGAGGCAGACGCTGAACCACTGAGCCACTCAGATGCCCCATATATATTGTTTCTTTTTAATGATGAATAATAGTCCATTGTCTGAATGGACCACAGTTTATTACTCATTCACCTTCTGAAGGACATCTTGGTTGCTTCTAAGTTTTGGCAGTGAGGAAGAAAGCTGCTATAAACATCTGTGTGTAGGTTTTGTGTGGACATAAATTTTCAGCTCCTCTGCTTGAATACCACAGAGCATGATTGCTGGATCATATGGTGAGAGTATATTGAGTTTTGCAAGGAATTGACAAACTATCCCCAAAGTGGCTGTACCATTCTGCATTCCTGCCATCCGTGAGCAGGAGCTCCTGTGGCTCTGCATCCTTGCCATTGCATGGTGTGGTCAGTGGATCCTGCCCATCCTAACAGATATTTGCTGTGTCCTAAAAAGTCCACTCATATAGCTGGTTGAAGAAAGGAGGAGTCCCATTAATAGGCTATCACTGTGGGGTGGGGACTGAAGCTCAGCAGTCCAAGTGACAGTTGTGACAGTGAAGCAACAGACAAATTTTCAGAGCAGAAAGAAACTCTGTGCATGTGAGTTCATGTGAGTCCACAGAGGACTGTGGGGGTAGCTCTTGGTTTTCTCAGTTGTGCAACTGAGCAGATAGAAAAGGCCACCAGTCAGGAAAAACAGAGAGGAGCAGTTTGCAGGGAGAGTCACACATTCATTCTCAGACATATTACGACAGAGATGTCACAGGAGCTGTCTGGGCAGTGAGAGGTCTTGTGCTGGAGATGCATACTTGAAAGTAGTCAGTTTTTAGTAAAGTTGCCCTGGGATGGTGGTCCCTTACCCTGACCGGAGCTTTGGAAAAACACCCATGCCCAGGGTGGCAACTGATCTACAGAATCATGTCTGTGGGCTAGACTACCCAGGCCCAGGCATGTCTTTGAAGCTCCCGGCTGTTTCTCATAAGCCAGCTAGCATTGATAACCACAGAACGGAACGCTGAGAAACTGACACTTAGAGGTCAGGAAAGAGGAGGTGCCAACAAGAGGCTACGGAGAGTGGCCACGGAGAGAAGGGAGCTGAGAAGAATGTGTGGTCAGGAGCCAGCATGGAGCGTGTGATAAAGCTTGCAGGGCGGTAGGCAGTTGCGGCACTGCCTCTGATCATGAACCAATGCTGGTAAGGCTTTGTCCAAAATTTCATGAGATCAAATACTTAAATCTTTTCAAGTGTTCTTGGACGGCTCAAGTAGAGAGATACAGGGAGCCTGTGGTTAGAAAGTTACTTTGTGAGTAAGGTATCAGGATAAGGAGAGTTAACCGATCTTAAGCAGTTTTCTTGGCTAAGTGTTTTCATGTACTCTCAACCCTCTGGGGATAGCTTTTCTAAGGAAACGGCAATTCTGGGTTGTACTGAGGTAGGATGCCTCCCCCTTAGCAGTGCCTACTCCCACGATACTGTGTCGACTCTCTGGTTTATGATTCTGTGGCTAGCCACAACCCTAGGGTCCTCAGTCTTTATTCAAACAGACAGGGACACAATTCCATGCCTTACAGTGTTACATAAGAGTTATAGCATCAGTTACTCAAAGTGATTTATATAGATTCAAAACAATCTTAATTAAAACCCTAGCAGCAGTTTTTCGTAGAAGCTGACAAGCTGATTACCAAATTGACACAAGTGCAAAAATTTAAGACCCAGTGTGATCTTGGGAAACACTACTGGAGGACTTAGTCTGTTGGACATCAAGACTAATCCTAAATCAATAGGGATTGCTAGGAACTAAGTGGACAGTGTAGTGTCAATTCAAGTGTAAACAAATAGACCAGTGGACACAGGATGAGGAGTCCACATGCGAGTATGAAAGGCATGATCTCTGAGATGGCGGCTCTACAAAGCAGTGAGTAAGGAGGGCTTTCATAAATGACCCCTTATTTCATGCCATACACAGAAATAGACTCCAAGCAAATTTTACATCTAAATGTAAAAAGCAAAACAACGAAGATTGTAGAAAATGCCATAAGGATAAATCCTCAAGATCCTGAGGTGGGTAAATGTTCCTGAACAGGACACAAAATACATCACACTTACAGGAAAAGATTGATAAATTGGATGATAGTAGAATTAAGAATCTCTGTTTTTGAAGAGATGCCATTAAACAAGTAAATAAGCAAGTCACAGAGGGCAAAGAGATTTCCAGTAAATATAACCAACTGAAAAAAACCCTGTCCAGAATTACAAATTCCTATAAATCAAGGGGGAATAAAAGACACACAAGCCAATTTTTTAGATGAGCAAAAGACATTAACAGGGGTTTAATGAGGGAAGATATCTATTGAGTCAATGAGTATGTGAACACTGTCCAACTGCATTAGTTGTTGGGGAAATACATATGAAACTATGATGGAATATCACCTCACATTTACCAGGATGGCTCTCATTAAGACCTGGGACAATGTGTGTTAGCAAAGATGTGGAGCAACTGGAATGTTCATGTGGTGCTGATGGGGCACAAACTGGTGCCTTTACATGGGAGAACTGCCTGCTGTTGCCTCTGCTGCAGTTGGCCTTGTAATCCCACTCCTCTCTGTGTTTCTGCTCAACACAGCTGCAGACAGAAGTTAACCAAAATCCAGACTCCCAGTGTTCACAGCAGCACTATTCATCATAGCCCATAAACCACCCACTAGTATCCATCAAGGATAAAATATAGTTGTCCTGCATTCACACAGTTGAGAACAGGGCTTGCTGCTTCATATAACACAGATGAGCCCTGAAACCATCATGTTGGGCAAAAGCCACACACAGAGTACCTGTGATAGGATAGGAAGTTTGATAGGAAGGAAGGTAGCTAGGGAAGGTGGCCTTAACAGTGGAGGTCAGAGTGGTGGTTACCTGCAGGGGAGGGCAGGGACCCACAGGGGACCTGTAATGCGCCGTGTGCATGGCTGTACCTAAGTGTATTCACTGTGTTGGCAATCAAGCAAACCATGTTCTTATGATCTTATGTTGTCCCGTATGTAATGTTTTGACCTTTTAAAATGAGTTTTAAAATCCATCATCCTATTCTGGTGTCACCCCCCAGACTTCATGCCAGGATAACTGTGATTGAAATGTTGGGTGTTCCTAAAGTCTTGAGTTACACATTTGTAGCCATTTTCTTAGTTCATTCTCCTACGTGGTATTTTACATACCCTGGATTTAGATTTCATGAATTTAAATCTCAGGAGGAATCTTGTTTCCAAGCTTATGTGAAGTGTCTTTAGCTCCCATATGGACAGCAATGATTTTGCAAGGGATTTAGATTAAGACACTTGATAAGCCGAGTTTATTATGAATCTTCACTTTGGAAAATACGGTCAATACAGACCATTTATTATTAGGATTTTCTCCAACTGAAAGTAAGTCTTCAAAATGTCAAAATTAAATGAAGGAATTATATTGGTGACATTTAGTCTCATTTTTCAGTTAAATGCTTTGCAGGACCTTCATCCATTACCCAAGATAATTCTGGAATATAGGCGGGTAAGTTCCCTTTGTGTGTGAGTGAGTGAGTGAGTGGGTGAGGGAGGGGAGCCATATGGCACCGCCTCTGATAAGACCAATCCGTCATCACAAAAGTAGCCCTGGCAGTGTTCTGAAGGGAACAGCACCTGTTCAAGACAGCCTGGTACCAGTGCTGCTCTGGTGCAGCCCGCTCAGCTCCATTCCAGCCACAGTCAGCCCACTCAGCAGTGGGTCACAGGGTCCCACATGGATGAAGACAAGTGAAGATGGGAAGGGGATGTGTGTACTGTCATGGGGCGGCTTTGCTGTGGGCTCAATTCTACCACCATGGAGTTCAGAAGCCTCTTTCTCAGGCCTTGTCCTACTCCCCGCCCTGGGCCTGGTGAGGTTACCCGCAGCCTCCTGAGCATGTTCGCTGACACACTCCCTTTTGTCACTAACATGGACCCCTCATGTCGCTGTCAGGCCCCCTTCTTCCTCAGCTGCCCACGCTTCCTCTGTTCACGTGCCTGCCATGTATCCCCTGATGTTCGTGAACCACATCCATAACTTTGGCCACCGCTTGTACCATCAGTCTGTCATTCCCTAACCTGTGTCCTGCTGCTCTCCTGAGGTGTGGCGGCTGACAGGGCTTGGTCATGGCACCATTCCTTCTCCTTGAACGGATGAAATGATTGGAAGAGAACTAAAGGCACCCTAGGGCACAGGGAAGGATGGAGATTCAGGACCTTCCATTTATCTCTGCAATGTTTCTGTGAAAAGAATTATCCCGCAAAAGGAGGTAGGGTGCTGTCTTTCTCTGTGGGCCATTGTTATTTAATTCTGGGTGCCACACCAGGCTGTTTCAGGGCCCCCTGGAGTAATTGGAGCTGACACGTGAGCCGCACGTGCCCAACACTCTGTGAAACACTGCTTTGATGTGAGTTCCTGTTCCAATGCTTAAACAAGAAAATGATTACTTCTGTCCATGTGACCTAGGTTCACAAGACCAAGTCAGCCTTTGTGGATGGATTACTAGCTTTTGTGAGAAAGGTAACTGCACTTAAACGAGGTACTGTGCTTGGGGATGTGGTTTCCATGTGGCTTCAGATACACATACAATTTACTAGAGTTTTAGTTAATGATGAAATCAAATATTCTTGAGCCGTGAGACACAATTTTGTTATTTCTCAGGTCTCATGAGGCTTGAGTTGCCATCATGCCTTCAGACCTGGAGCTGCATTTTAGGAAGCTGTGGGGCAGTCCAGGCACTCTTAAATCTGTCCCTCCCCTCTTCTTTTGCTCACTTCAAGGAGATGCTGTTCAAATTCACACGTGAAGAGCCTGCAGTCAGGTGTGCTGTGACTGGCCCTGTCTGGGTAGCACAGCCCCCGTGGCATGTGATCCTCCTCTCCCTACACACAGTGGTTTGAAGGAACACAAAGACCTACATGTCCTGTTGCCGCTTCTGCACGGTTGGGGGAACCTCCTTGTTCGTCAGCAGGTTGCTGACACCCAGGGACCTTTCAGGTTTCAGGGCGTAGGGCCAGCAGCTGGTGGACTTATGCAGGAAAGCAGTGAGTGTTTAATGCTATGTGCAGTGAGACTGAAGGGTCAGGATGTTCTTGACTTCATGTGGCATTGCCAGAGCTGAAACTGATTCTTTTTAACTTATAAAGGGCTCCATTTCCTCTATGTGGAATCAGACTGGAACTGTGACCGGAAGACTTTCAGCCAGGCATCCGGTAAGTCAGCTCTCCCTGTTAGACACCAAGTTTCCGTGCCTCTGAGTTGAATTTTTGCCTGTACCTGTGTTTGCCTGCACACTTTTCCATTTCTAAGAGGGGCCCCATTGCTGATGTGTTTTACTCTGCTTCTCCACTTGACTGATACTTACTTAGCACCTGCCATGTTCTGGGAATAAGACACATGCCCTCTACTGTCACAAAGCATTGAGTTAGTGAGGGATCCTTTCCATCCAGAGAGTCAAAAGTGCTGCGGATGAGGGCAAAAGCAACACCCCGTTCCCACTCCCCCTTCCTTGTCTGCAGATTTGTGCTGGACAGGAGGCTTCTGATGTCCAGAAATGTGTTGGACTGTCTGATGCTCCAGTGACCTCCTCTTTTCCCTTGTTGTTGCTTCAGACTGTCTCTGATGAAAAAAACTATAAATACTCTTGAATTTATGATGCAGCTTTAATAACACTCAAAGCAATTAGCTTTTTAAATGGCTTTATAGGGCACTTAGGTGGCTCAGTCATTTAGGCATCTGCCTTTGGCTCAGGTCGTGATCCCAGGGTACTGGGATCAAGTCCTGAGTCAAGTTCCCTGCTCCATGGGGAGTCTACTTCTCTCTCTCCCTCTGCTCCTCCCTCAGCTTGTACTCTCTTACTCTCTCTTTCAAATAAGTAAATAAAATATTTTTAAAAAATAAAAACTAAGTGGCTTCATATTTTTGAATTAAAGATGATTCACTACTAATTTTTCATTGCAGAACAGTACGTTAATACAGAAATGTAAAAAAGCAAAAACAAAAGAACCTAATAAAAATCACCTGTTATTCCACCATGCAGAATTAACCATAGCTAACACTTTGGTGTCTATCTGTATTGACTTTTTGCTAAGTACACGTATTTATAAAACACTGTTTTTCTACCAAAATAAAACCACACTTTTATTTTATATTTTTCAATTTTATTTATAATGTCTTGATATCATACATTAATATTGACCTGAATCTATATTTAGATTTAAACATTTGAATTATTTTAAATATGCAAATTAAATATATTAATTGTTTAAATATGCACTATAAAATATAATTATACATATGAGTATACATTATGATAAAGAAATTCAAATAGCATGGACATGTGTAAAAACAATTTGGTGTCCTTTTCCCTTAGTGACACGTCTGTCTACCCCATGGGTCCTGTCACCGGTGTGGACTGCATCCCACCAGCCTTTTTCTGGCCTTTACATGTATGGGTACCCTGTGCATGTGGCAGGTGGTGGTGTGGGGCTGGGCAGACTCATGCCCTGCAGGAGCTGCAGACTTGCTCAGGGCCCTACACATTCTGGACTTTGCACCCACCTTAGGGAGGTCTTTCTTTGGATGCCCTACTTTAGAGAGCTCTTCTGTGGTCTTTACGTGGCTCACCATGAGCAGTACTAACACTAGTTCCTCCTCTGAAAGGTGTCTGATGCACCTGTTCTCTTAGCTGCTGCTTCTCATCAAAGAGTGATTTAGAAGTTCTACTGAGAATGAACTTTTTATGAGGTCCTTGCTTTTGCCAATAGATGGTTGTAAGTTCAAATTTTCTGTTATATTTCCAGATTAATCTCTTGCTGTGCTTTATTCTCTTCCAGGAATCTCCAGTGTTTCTGGTTTGTGGGTAGCACTCCTCCCAGATTTTTAGTGCACTCTAGTTTTATTTATTTATTTTTTGTTATTTTAATTGAATTTTTGGAAAGAGAAGGTATAAACATAATGTGTGCATTTGGCTACCACATTCCATTGGAAGTCCACATCATCATTTTAACAGCCACTTTATACTCCATTTAATGGCTGTCCCTGGTGATAGTCATTAGATTGTCTTCAGTTGTGTTTATTTTATCCAGAGATGCCATAAACATACTTGTACATATATTTTTGGGTGCATTTTTCTAATGATTTCCATAGCATTCCTAGATACAGAATTCCTCAGTTAAGGATATGTGTATTTTCGGGCTTTAAATTGGTAAATCATCCTCCAGAAAAAAGTTCTCACCCATCAAACAACAGGTGAGACGTTTGGTCTCCTACATCCTTGCCAATACAGGGAGTTTTCATTTTGGTTAAGATTTCCTGACTTGAGTTTTAGTTCCTAGTCCTTTGAAATATAAGTGATATTGATGTGTTAGATCATCAAGTATTGATGTCTTATTCTTCCCTGAATTGTCTATCCACACCACTTGCCTGTGTCCCTGGAGGATGTATATTTTCCTAGTGGTGTGGGAAATTTATAGAATAAAGATTTTCCCTTTGAAAAATGTTGAATTATTTTTCTCTATTTTCTTTTGCCCTTTAATTTTTAAAATATACGTTCTGTTTGCCACATTTAAAATGACTTTTTAGTGTACAAACAATGAATGGTAATTCTAAAGAATTCAAACAGATGAAAATATAAATAATAAAGTAAATGACACCTAAGTCTCCACAACCCCGCCAGCCACTGTTAACGTTTGGCAACTGTCTGCTTAGCTATCTCCTTGTGTACACAGACACACACATGTACATGGATGGGATTCCATCCTGTGTTGTGTTTGTCATAGACACTCCCTCACCACAGCCGGTCCCAGTACACTCTGTGCCCGTGGCAGGCTGTGTTAGCAACCTAACTTTTGCTCATCCATATTTCTGTCTAGACTTCTAATGGAATCTTGTACATAGACTTCTAATGGAATCTTGTACAGACTCATGTGTAGCTATACACGTACACACAGAAGCATGCAGTGACTTTGTCATTATTTATTTTGCAGAATAGAGTTTCATTTTTCTGCCTCTTGACTTTCTCCCAGCAATAGCTGGTAGACTCCCTGCAGGTCATCTGACAAAGTCCTGCTTCACTTTGGTTAGCATGCATTCTGCCATTGTGTTAGCCATTGCTCTGCTGGTGGACTTGCCGTCGAAGGGTACAGCTGCAGCAAGCATCACACACGTACGCCCCGGTGTATTGGTACTTGTAGTTTTGTGGAATAGATTATCAGGTGTGAAATTACTAGGTCATCTGATAGTATATTTTTATATTTTTACTCATAATAGCTGTTACTAGATTGCCTTTAAGAATCTGTCAGCTCTTGACATTGTTATAAACAATGGTAGCAGTACTTTCTCCATTATCCATGGTGACTCTTCTCTGTGTCATCTGAGAAAGACATTCCTCAGCTTCAAGATTATTTAAAGATTTAGCACCTCTGTTTTCTTTTTTTTAAAAGATTTTATTTATTCATGAGAGACACACAGAGAGAGACAGAGACATAGGCAGAGGGAGGAGAAGCAGGCTCCATGCAGGGAGCCTGAGGCGAGACTCAATCCCAGGACCCCGGATGTGGTCCCAGGACCCTGAGATCATGACCTGACCCGAAGGCAGACACTCAACCGCTGAGCCACCCAGGCGTCCCTAACACCTGTTTCCTTATGGAACTTTTGTACTTTTTTTCACATGTAAAATGGAATCCAGCTGTACATTATTTAACCAGATACTATGTAAGTTACATGCTGGTGGCACAAAAATGACCAGAGTCTGAATTATATTCTTTAGTTTAAAGTGCACAAAGTACACCAGTATTTTCCAAAAATCAGATTTGGGGCACCTGGCTGGCTCAGTCAGTGGAGCATGTGACTCTTGATCTTGGGGTCATGAGTTCGAGCCCCATATTGGGTATAAAAATTACTTAAAAATCAAATCTTGGGGCACGTGGATGGCTCAGTGGTTGAGCATTTGCTTTTCACTCAGGTCATGATCTCAGGGTCCTGGGACCACATCTTGCATTAGGCCCCCCTTGCTTGGGGAGCCTGTTTCTCCTTCTGCCTATGTCTCTGCCTCTCTCTGTGTGTCTCTCATGAATAAATAAATAAAAATCTTTAAAAAATAAAGTCATATTATAACTAATTTCGACATTTCCAGAAAGCTAATTTCTCACACACAAACCCTCCTACGAGTAAGTCATTGTTAGCAACTGACTGCTGAAGCACGTTACCACCCACTTTTGTGTTCTTTTTCATATTATTTCTGATAATAGCAAAATGCAAAATATTTTTGTCTTCGGTTGATCCCATGTTTTGACATTTTAATTAACTGTTAACAGGTTATGGTTTATTCAAGAACTGTTTGAGAATAGTTGATTTAATTGATTCAACTCTAGTCTCAGTAATATATATGATAAATATATTAGAGCATTTTAATAATAGTAGTTTTAAAGTCTTTGTCAGATAATGCCAACATCTGCATCATCTCATCATTGATGTGTTTTCATTGTCTTCCCACATGATTTGAGATTTTCCTGTTTCTTCATGTCCAGTAATTTGGGGTTGTATCCCAGATATTTTGAATATTGTATTATGAATCTCAGTCTTGTTTAGAAATCTCATTGAAATGTTGTGATTTTTTATTTAGTGGGTGTTTAACCTGGTTAGGTTCAGGTTGCAAGTTGTGACCTGTTCTCCATGAGCTGTGATTTCAGTGTATGTTCAGTTTTAAAGACCTTTGCAGTGCTATTCAGACATTCCCCAAAATGGCCACACAGTGATCAGTCGGGATTGAGCCATGGTTTATCTATTGGTGCAGTTCTCAGAGTCTTTGGTATACTGTTTAAGATGATATCTGCACGTGTGCAGCTTGAGGCTGACCCCAGTGGTTTATAAATAATGCTGTGGTATCCTTTTCCCAACCTCCTTCTTTGCCATGGTCTTCCTAGTTGATTTCTAGTTCTTTGGCACTCTCTTCTTTTTGGGTTCCTAGCCAGAAATTGGAAGCTTTTGTAATCTTATTCTGCCGTGCACCTCATGCTACTGGCCTTATGTCTAGGACCAAGAGTAGGAAATGCTGAATTCACTGCCTGTTGGGTAGGATCAACTGCTGGTCTGCTTCCCCAGTCTGCCTGCTGCTATTAGTTTACCACATTTTCAAATTGCTGCCCTATGCATCCTGTCCAAGCTTTACATCTGTGTTCAGTAGCATGTACTTCTAGTATCTTACCAGGAA